GCCACAAGACTCCCCTTAGGGGTGTGGTAGGGCCCCAAGGCTAAGAAGATGGTGACCCCAGACTTTGCTTCTCTTGCAGGTGCACAGGCCAAGGGACTCCAGCAGAGCCGCCTCAGACCCTCCTCCCAGAGAGGGCAGCCCCATGTTCCTCTCCCACTTCCAGTGACCTGAGGGATGGGGCAGGGTGTCTCTAGCTACTTGCAGCTTGAAGCCCAGGCCAGAGAAGTGGGTCCATCTCAGAGCTGCCAAACAAGACTGCTAAGAGCTCCACTGACCAGAAGCGGCGGCTGACACCTTGGTCCATGAGCTGCGGGTGGGGGGGTGGCCTCCTTGAGACCCAGCAGGGGTCTCTGCATCGTCCCAGTCACCTGAGCAGAAGGGTCAGTGGGCATCATGGCACAGTGGCTTGAGGGGCCATTGAGCAGCTCGAGGGGACTCTGCAAAGCCAGGGCACCATGGAGGTGGGATGTCAACACAGGTGGACAGGGACCAGGCCTCACTTATTCTTGGAAAGAACAGTGGGCAGAGGTGCAGCTTCCATGGGACACAGACTCGGTGGCCAGGCCCAGACAGCAGCCATGCATCTGGCCTGTGTGCCTTTGAGCCAGGATGTGCCTCAGGGGACAATGCAAACTGGACCAGAACTTGAGGCCTTTTTTCTCCCATGACTGCAGCATTTGGGGTGGTGCAGGAGAGACAGTGGGGCATCTGGACTGACCTGGGGACAAGCTATGAAGGTGGCAACATTGACTGCAATGCCCGCTTCTTAACCATCAAGTCCTGGCTGCAATGTCACCACCTCCTGGAGGCCTCCCCTGAGCTCCCCAGGTAGAACAATCTTTCACCCATTCTGTGACCGCACTGTGCTCTCTCTTATTTTTATTTCAACACTATTGCATAGAATTTCAATTCTTTCCCCTCCAGTCTGTCATTCCAGATGGATTTGGGACTGTTCCATGGCAGATTCTGCCCAACCTGTCTCTGTGCCTCCCTGCCTGGCATGGGGCCAGGCCAGGGGTGCTAAGAGTTTGTCAGATGAGTGAACGAGCCAGGGGACGCATGAATGAAGCATCCATCTTCCTTCTCAGGCTGGGCTCTGCTTTCTCATTCCTGCCTGCTCCCTTCAACCCCAGGTTGAATAAACCATGCTCTCCAGCCTGCTCAGGACACAGAATCCTCAAATTCAGTGGCCCATCCCTTGTGGCACTTAGCTGGCTTTCTCCGGGTGTGTCCCCTGCCACTTGATGTGGTTCATCCACTTGCTGGGGAGATATTAATGCACCTTGGGGGTCAGTGGAGCCCAATAACTGTGCTATTAATAGGGCAAAGCAATTTCAATTTCATGCCTACGTGGGCCTCCCTCTATTAAGGCAAAGAGAGGGAACACATCCTTTTTAATTCTTTCCAGAAAACAGTCCAAGTCATTGTGTGACAGAGGCTTAGGTAGGATTGCTGGAAGGCAGTAGAGGGGGCAGGAGGCTCATGTGAGACAGAGCAGGGGTTTGGGGAAGAAGGAAGTAGGTTGAGGAGGCAATTGGTACTGTGTGGTTGTTGCCTGCTGATCCGGCCTGGATGTTCACACTGATGAATATCTGTGAGCCTTCAATACTTGAAAATCATCTGCTTCAGTGTTGCTATCAACTTGCAAAATGAATGGATCATTTATTTGCTATATTTTTAGAGGAGAAATTGCTGTGAGGAGTCATTTGGGCTTCTCAGTGTAAATGAGAGTATGTGACATGGGGGATGGGAAACCAAGATTCTAGAACGTCAGGTTCAGAATGTGGGGCTGTTGTAGATCGCAAAGATGGCCCTGATCCTGCCTCTTGCTGTACCCGCACATTACACAATGTGACTTTGCAACTATTCTCATCAAAAATGTGATGCATTTCTTCACCCCTTGGCTCTGGGCTGAACTTATGACTTGCATTGGCCAAAAATATGTAGCGGAGGTGACAGAGTGCAAGTTCCCCAAGGCCGCATGAGACTGTGTGTTCTACCCCTCTCTGCTCCTCTGTCTTCACCAAGCTCGTCTGCTGGAGGATGAGAGACCCTATGGGCTGAGCTGACTCATCCCAGCAGAGGCTCCCGTGGACCAGCCAGCCCCCAGCTGACTCAGCAGCTGACTCGGGTTCGAGAGGGAGCCTGGCCAGGATCAGCCACTGACCATAGCCTAATGGGAAATAATAAACAGCTGTTGTTTTAAGCGATTACGTTTTGGGGATGTTCATTATACAGCGTCATTGTGGCGATAGATAACTGATACAGGAGCCATATGACAGTGCTCCTATTTAATGTGCAGCATTCATCACACTGCAAACCTGGCCCACGGTGAGTGGTTAATAAATATTTGTTGAGTAAATGTATGTGCTGTCAGAGCACTGATATAACAACCTGTCTTTCCCCTAAATATATACTGAATTGTCTGGCTTCAGTCTTTGCTTATGCTCTTCTCTCTGTCTAGAATATTCTCCATTCTCTGCCTGGTCACACTGTTTTTCTTTAAAAGTTCTGCTCACATGTCATTGGTCTCCTCCGACACCCCCTTGCCCCTCATCGCAGAGGAATGAATCTCTTCCACCCTCATCTCCAGAGCACTGGCGAGGCTCTGTGCTGAGCACTCATCACAGTTTGAGGCTCCTTGGTTAGTCGGATGAATGTTCCCTGCTCAGTGGGCCGTGAGCTCCTTCAGGGTTGAGAGCACCTTCTACTCGTCTCTGCAGCCTGGCCGCCTAGTGTGGAGCCTGGCCCTTAGCAGGCCCTTGGGAGATGCTCACTCACTCATGCACTTAATAAAGGGTTGTTGAGCCCCTGCCATGTGCCAGGTTCTGGCCTAGGCGCTGAGGGCANCTTATGCTCTTCTCTCTGTCTAGAATATTCTCCATTCTCTGCCTGGTCACACTGTTTTTCTTTAAAAGTTCTGCTCACATGTCATTGGTCTCCTCCGACACCCCCTTGCCCCTCATCGCAGAGGAATGAATCTCTTCCACCCTCATCTCCAGAGCACTGGCGAGGCTCTGTGCTGAGCACTCATCACAGTTTGAGGCTCCTTGGTTAGTCGGATGAATGTTCCCTGCTCAGTGGGCCGTGAGCTCCTTCAGGGTAGAGAGCACCTTCTACTCGTCTCTGCAGCCTGGCCGCCTAGCGTGGAGCCTGGCCCTTAGCAGGCCCTTGGGAGATGCTCACTCACTCATGCACTTAATAAAGGGTTGTTGAGCCCCTGCCATGTGCCAGGTTCTCAGAAGCAAATGATGCAGGTGTGGTCCCCACACTCACAGGCTGACATCCTGGCCAAGGGTAGGGAAAGGCTGTCAATAAAGAGGCAAAGAGGAAAAGCACCTGATAGGGATATGTTCTGTGCAGAGAATGCAATTAAGGATGGCACCACAGAGTGTGGGGCCTGGCGGTCAGCGAGGGCCCTCTGAGGGGGTGATAGTTAAGCTGACACCTAAATGGAAAGGAGTCAGCCCTGTGAAAGTCCAGGGGAAGAGCATAGAGGATCCTAAGCAGTGGAAACAGGCAGAACAAAGGTCCTGAGGCAGGAATGGGAAGGTGAGTGTGAATGAAAGGGGTGGGGGTGGGGAGAGAGACCAAGAGAGTGTGCGTGAGACAAAGTCGGCTGGCTGCGTTACATCCTGTATGACTCGTAGGGGTTTAGATTTAGTTCTGTGTCTTAGTCTGCTTGGGCTGCTGTACCAAAATACCACAGACTTGGCGGCTAGCAAACAACAGACATTCACTTCTTACCGTTCTGGAGGCAGGACGTCCGAGACCAGGGTGCCAGTAGGGTCAGTTCCGGTGAGAGCCCCCTTCCAGGGTGCAGCTCGTGGCCCCAGCACCCCCATCAGTCTGTTGTTTCTGTTGTCACATTTCCTTCTAGTGCCGTCTCCTCTCCCTCTTATAAGGCCCCTTGTGATTACATTGGGCTCACCTGGATGATCCAGAACAATCTCCCTACCTCAAAGTGCTGAAGTTAATCGCATCAGCAAAATTGATCTTGCCACGTAAGGGAACATGTCACAGGTTCTGGGGATTAAGGTGTGGACATCTCTGTTGGGGGCCTTTATTCTGCCCATTGCAGTGATCCGGCAGCCCTCTTTTTGCCTGCCCTGGAGAAGATTCTGGAAACCACATGTTCCAGCTGGTGTAACCACACGGTGAAAGAGGACTGTCCAATCTGCCTTGGGCTTTGCATAGCCACAAATCACCTTTTATCGTGCTAATGCAGTAGGACTCTGGGGTTGATGTGTTCCTGCAGCACAGCCTCTCCCACCAGAGATTAACATAGTGTTGCATGGGCTCTCCTTGGTGACGCTCAAGTCTTGGCCACAGCTCTGAGAAGCCAACCCCACCTCTACCCCTGACTTACATGTGACCCTTGACTGATGTTGGCCGTGGCAGTGTGACTTGCTTTGGCTGAGGGGGTTGTTCATGGATATGACAGGCAGATGCTTGAATGGTGGATGCACAGTTGGTTTGTTTTTCTCCACCTTGGCGATCTACCATTAGATGACCAAATGTCAGATGGCCACTGTCCATTTACCTGAGCCCCAGAGCAAACACCCGTGGAGGAGACCTGAGCCCAACCCACAGCCTGGAGTCTCTAGCCCAGTAGACTTGTCACCTGAAGCAGACGACACTGAGCCCAGGCTGGACCAGCTTTACCACTTCATCCTGAACAGGAACATAATCATAAGTGCTTATTGTTGCAGGCCACTGAGATGTGGGTTGGTTTGTTATGCAGCATTATTGTGGCAATAGCTGACTATTACACTTGGCCCTGAGGAACCTTTCATTTCCTGAGTGTCTCTGGCCACTCCCCACACGTGGGTGTTAGGATTTGGGTGAGACAATGAGCCACATCTCCACCCCTCATCCAGGGAGGAGCATGTTTCATCTCCTTCATCACCTCCCCCCCGTCCCAGTGCCTGTCCCCGTGCTGGGTGCCAGGGGGTGCCCAGTTGCTGCCATAGAACAAATAAAGAACACAGAGCCACAGAGCCAGGTGGGGAAAATTGTTCTGTTTGTTTTAATTAAACCGACTGAAGAAGCCAAGACACAGACAGAAAGAGACTAAGAACAAGACTGGAAATAGTTTAGAAAAGAAATGAAAAGCAATCGCAGAGATGTCAGTGCCAGGTGGAGTGGTGGGAGCCGGGCTGAGCCCTCACGTCAGCTCCAGGACCACTGTCAGGGCGAGCACCAAGGTGAGCCAGGCACCAGCGGGGCCAGAGGCGGAACCTGTGCGGGTGGCAGGGGGCAGGATCAGAGCCCGCACACCCACCACGTGGCTCTCCAGTGGGCCCGGCGGGCTGTGGAGCCTGGGGATAGCAGAGCTTCAGAGGGCCCAGGGGAGTGTGGGCTTCAGCATGGGGATGCGCTGGGTTCAAATCCCAACTCTGCCACCTGTCCTGCCTGTGTGTGACCCCTTCTTGGCCCTGGGCCTAGAAACACTAGAGTCACTATGGATGGTGTTGGGGATACACTTAGTCCCTGGAAATCCCTGCCGCTGCTTTGGGGTGCCGAGCCCCCTTTATTGTCTCAGTGCCCACTCCTGACCTCCTCTGACCCAGACTCTGCGACCTAGAGGACAGTTTCCTGCCGGAGGCTTGAGGGAGGGCCAAGGGGAGGCAGTGGGAGGTCTGGGGACCGGAGCTTCCTGGAGCCTTGAAAATCACACTTTCAAGCCAGAAGCTCTGCAAGTGGAGACTTACCATTGGAGTCCTCCATTCCTCTTGGGATATTTGGGTTTTCTGTGGGAAGAAACAGAAAGAGAACGAATGAGAGGTGGGATGGCTTCGGAGCACAGTAAAGGAGGGCCCCGCCATCCCGCACCTGCCGTGTGGCTTCACATGGGCTGTCTCGGTGTGGCCACACCTCTGTGGGCTGGAAGAGTCAGCCCCACTGTACAGATGGAGAAACTGAGGGAGCGTGAATCATTTGCCCAAGGTTGGCCAGCTGCTAAATGGTGGACCTGGGATTTGAACCCACAGGTCTCTGGTTTTAACCGCTGAACTCCAGTGCCTCCTTGCGGGGCACCCTCTCAGGGCACATTTAGGGGCCTCGGGCCCTTTCTGCTCCCTCCTCCTCGGGACAGTGTCAGCCAGGTCCCGCCCCTGGGTGGCCTCCCGCTGCCCAGCCGGCGGCGTACCGAACACGATGAGCCGGGTGTGGGTGTCGGTGGAGCCCAGCGGGTTCTGGGCCGTGCAGCGGTACATGGAGCCGTTGAGCTCAGCGGGGACCCGCTCCAGCACCAGCTCCTTCCCGTCGAACTCGGCGCTGCCATCCAGGAGGCGGCTCCCCACCCGCGTCCATGTGAACATGGGCTCCGGGAAGACTTCGTTCTGGTGGCCAGAGCAGGGGAGAGTCTGGTCACAGAGGAACCATTCTGCCGGAGCAAGAAGGGCTCGGTCGCGGCCCGGCCAGGCCTGCGACACATTCTCATCTGGCGGGTTAGGAGGGGTTCCTGGAACACCCGGCAGAGAGGGGCTCTAGGGCTGGGATGAAGGGCAATCCAAGAGGGGTGTCTACTCGGGGTTCTAGATGGGTAAGCAAAACACAGGTACCTCTTGCCCTTTCTCATTCAGACCAATTTTGCCATCACACGGATTAGCAGACTGAGGCCCACTGGCTGGGCTGGAGGTCAAGGGGAGGGTGTCAGAGCATGTTGCCAGGGAGGCTAGCGCCCAGCTGGGGCCCCACCCTCCCAGGAGCTCAGAGAGAGGCCGACCTGAAATCCATGGACCAGAATCCTCACTGTGTCCCCGACCCGGGCTCTGCTGGGTGTCATCACAATTTTGGGTCCTTTGGGGGCGACTGTAGGGAGAGGAAGGCCAGGTCAGAGAGGTGTAAGTATGTATGTGTAGGGGAGGGGAGACTGGGCAAGGAAAGCAGGGTCAGGGGAAATAGAAGAGAAAATTCCAGTCATATTCTAGTCCAGTTCCAGGATGCTCATTCATTCATTCATTCATTCATTCATTCATTCGAGCCGGCTTGTGTTCATTCCCACACATTCCCTGAGCCCCTGCAATGAGTGAGACCCTGGCTGGGACCTGGGGATTCGATGGTGTACAAAACACGGTCTCTGTCCTGGGTAGACAGGTGTGGGGCATCACTTTCCCCTTTGGGTCTCTATCTTCCCTGCCTCTCTTCCTTACGTCCCTGTGTCACTTTTTCAAAGCCCCCTTACATCTCTGAACTTGGGAGACAAGACACCCAAGGGCATTGCTGTCTTCTGAACAGACAATATCAGGATGGACGAGCCCCTAGGATCACTGGGTTCATCCCCTCAGGTTTCAGATTGGGAAACCGAGGCCCGGGGTAACAAAGGGGTCACACAGAGCCAATTTTCCACATTTCAGGCCAGAATCATTCATTCATTCATTTATTCATTCACTCAGTCATTCTTTCAATAAGTAATTATTGAGCCAAACACATCCAGGCTTTGGGGCAGGGCTGGGACACAATGGTGAACAAACCAAGTGCTTGCTGACCTGAGCTTACAATTTAGTGGGGGAGACGTTTTATATGCAAACAAGAAAATATCAGGGAGTGTAGTGTGATGCACAGAAGCAGGCCAAGGGTGAGTGGTGGTCAGTGTCTCTTCCAAGGAGGTGACATTTCAGCTGGGACATGAAGCTCAAGAGGAGAGTTCCAGCGGATGGAACAGCCAGGACGTGGCACTGAGGCAGAAGGTCCGGGGTTAGGAGGGTGGGAGCTGGGGACAGATTCTGTAGTACTTCTCTGGGCTAGAGGAAGGCCTTAGGGCTCTGATCAAAGTGCCATGCTCTGGGCCACTCTGTGAACACTGTCCAGAGCTGGCAGAGGAGAAAGGCCCTGTCCCCAGGTCCCGGGGCTGGCCTGGGCCCTTCTCCACCTGCCCTTGCCTGCTCCCCTCACCTCTCCTTCCCACTCAGACTCTCAGGCTTCCCACTCAGAGCAGAAATCAGAGCGGCGGTGATGTGGGTGGTCTCCCAGGCCCTGCCAACTCCACTCTCTGAGAAGGAGACCAAAGGCCTATTAATTAAATCACAAGCAAGACATCTGAAGTGCCACACAGGGCTGATGGAGCCTCAGTGGAAAGAGCTGGGCCTGCTCTGAGGCAGGGAAGGGTGGGAAGGGTTTCTGAGGCTGTATCCACAGGAGCAAAAGAGGGGTGCTGGCCTAGGAGACCGAGAGCAGCTTCTGCTCTATTCTGCAGGCCTTGGATGAGTCACTTCACCTGACTTTGCCCAAGTGCCAAATGGGAACAGTGATAACAACCAGTGTCCATCCACCGCCCGGGGTGTTAGGAACATCAGGAGGGGGAGGCTTGAGGGCTAACATTCGTCAGGGGCCCACGAAGCACCAGGCACTGTTCACGCCTCGCGCATGGCCTCATTTAAGCTCCTGACCTTTTGCAATTATCCCCATAAGAAAATGAAAGCTTAGGGGGCTCAAGTCACTTTCCCGCCTTCTTTACTAACACTCAAGTTCTGTGTAGGTGGGTCTGCAGATGGGAAACTCATCACCAGGAAGGCGGTGTGGCCCTGGGCTATTCTGTCTGCCTTTTTTGTCCTGCTGGGACGGCACCAGCTGGCTGCAGCCAGCAGAGGGTGCGGACCGGCACCCCTGTCCTGGAGAAGCATGAACCCCTGGAGGGCAAGGGCAGACACCCTTCCCCTTCTGGGTGGGATTCCTCACTGCCCTGTTTTCTAAAGGCCCATCCACTTCCTTCAGGCTTGGGCCTGGGCACACGGATCCCGAGGGGAGGCGAACCCAACATTTATCAGGTGCCTAACGCGCGCTAGACCACACTGTAGACCGGTCACGCCCATCCTGGTGCTTAGAGGCGGGTGACCATAAAGCTCATTTTGTCGGCCATAAACTGGCCCTAGGGAGGGCAGTGGCTTGCTTGAGGTCACACACAAGGAAGCGGCCGAAGCAGGACTTAATGTCATGTAGGTCTTCAGAGAAGCCAGGAGCCCAGGGTGGGGGAGAAACGGAGCTGACCCCCTCGCCCACCTGAGTGGTCAGGCCCCGCCCCTGCTGCCCGAGCTGCGGTTCCTGGAGGCTCCTGGGTGGAGCTGACCCTGAGGGGCTGGGGGGCAGGCGGGGGTCTGCTCTGCCCTCACTTCTCTAAGCTCCATCCTGGCAGCTGCTGACCGACAAGGGCTTTTGCGGCAGATGGGCCTCTGACTCCCGCACTCGCTGCTCCATCAAGATGCTGCTCCCAGGAGCCAGGCCAGCTGCTATTACCCTGGCACCTCTGCCACCACCCTGAAGCCCATGAGCAGCTGCTGGCTGTCAAGCCCCCCTCCTCCGCTGCTCCTAGAACACATGCTGAGAGTACCTGAAGGAATGTTCTCAGCCCCCAGGGCTTTCGCTCCTCTCAACTCCTAGACATAGAGAAAGAAGAGCCCGGACAGCCAGGATTGAGGCCTGGCCTTCCACTCTCTGGCTGTGTGAGTCAACTCAGCTTGTTGGGCCTCAGTTTTCTCACCTGCAAATGGGGAGAATGGGCTACCACCCTATTGGGGGAGAGATATGAGACAGTGAAGTGCGAAGCGGCTGCATCTGCTCTGGGAAATGCAGGGGACTGTAATTACACAAGCTGCCCTCTTCACCTCCCGAAGACACAGGAGTCTTTTTAACAAATGACCCTGGCTCCTTTGACAAAAATCAATACGGTCTATATATGAGGGTCTATTTCTGGACTCTGTTCGGTTCTATCAATCTATTTGTCTACCTTTAGAGGGTTTGGGGTGGGTGTGGATGTGATTCATGATCTGATTTATAGTTTCAATGGATCAGTCGGGGTGAAGAGGAGAGCAGGGCATACGGGGAAGCAGGGAGGTCAGTCTGGAGGCCACTAATAATCTAGGCGAGAGCCGATGGTGCCTCGGCTGGGTGGTCAGAGAAGAAACCACGAGAGGTGGCAGATGCAGGACTCCAGGTTGCTTCATCTCCTCCCTGTCTCCATGGTGGCCAGCAGCCCAGGGCCCCTAATCCAGGGCTTCTCCCCACCCCCCAGCTCTGCTGGGGGCCTGCAGAGGGGCACCCACAAGCCTTACCCAGCGTGACCTCTGCCTGCATGGGCATCGACAGCGCTGGGTGCTTGACCTCGCAGCTGAAGAGGGCTTCGTTGTCGATCTGCGGGTTGAGCGTCCAGGTGAGCAGGGCGCGCACCTCCACGGTGCCGTCGCTGCCCGGGGCGTGGCTGTGGCGCAGGAAGTAGACAGGTTCGGAGCTGTGGACCCAGCGCGGGAACTCGCGGCTCACCACGGTCTCAGGGATGCTCTCGGTGGTCGGCTGGTAGAGGGTGCTGGGATCTGGGGTGAGGCCACGGGAGGGGCGCTCCGTGTAAGGACGCCCACCCCGGCTCTCAGTGTCCATCAGGGACAGTGACCTCTGCACCTTGGTGTCATCCAGGTCACGGTGCAGGAGGCTTCGGAAGGGCCTGCTGTCCTGGAGGGGGCCAGAGCTTGCAGGCGGAGGCTCTGCCAGGGGCACTGCGTCTATTGGTTCCCCATCTCTTTTAAAATAAACCTGAAATTACAAAGAGCGTTTGGGAAAAGATTCTGTGCCAATGACCTAGGCCTCCCGATGGGATCTCAGAGGATAGGCTGCCTGAGGCCAGTCCTTCCAGAGCCTCTTCTTCCTGGAAGCCTTCCTGATGGGCTTCCTTGTTGATTTCCCCCCAGCACCCCAAGACTGAGTCGGCTCAGTTCAGTGAGGACACGCAGGCCCTGGAGGTGGTGGCTGAGCCCACCTCTACCACTTACCAGCTGGTGAGCCTCTTGGAGCCGCAGTTCCCTTACTTGTGTGTGTGTATGTGGGGGACTAAGGGCACCTACTTCACAGGGCTGTGGGATGCCTAGAAACAGGGAGCAGATAGACGGGCCCCGGACGCAGCAGGGAGGCAGCCACCTGGGCCCCAAGGGGTGGTCTGTGCCCACCTGGGGAGAGCAAGTGGGTGGGAGGGAAGGTGGAGGGGCGCTGAGATTAAATGAGACATCAGGAGACCGAGGAAAGGGCCTCTGTGTGCGGGCCCGTTGCAGGGTCTGGAGACAGGGCAGAAAACAGGTGCGTGCGTGGGAAGAAGCTAGGTGCGGGGGCCGAGGCGAACTTGTCTTCTTGCTTTTTCTGCTGGTGAGGAATTTAAGTTTTGAGAGGTGGCATTTAATTTAATTTGCTGTCTTTTTATTTTGGTGCTGGCGCCCAGAGGCCTGTGGGGATTGGGTGTATTTTTAATACATCAGATAAATAAATACGTGGAAGACAGGGAGAGCGGAAAGCCTGAAGCCGCTCTCAGGATGCTGGTGCGGGAGGGGGCC